TTATATAACGGAAACGGACTTGTAGACCAATTTTTTATCAGTTATCGATTTTGTGAGGTTCAATTTTGGGAGGTTCAACAGTATATCGTATACGGTGTACAGTAATTAAAAAATGCAATATCAATGGACAAATGTGCCAACCCTGCCCAGTACTGTGGTTGTTGTAAAAATTATTAGCACGAATGAAATATTTGGTGGTTATAATCCTCTTAATTAGAAAGTTGGTAATAACGAATATGTGGCAACGGCTGATAGCTTTTTTTCTCTTTAAAAAATGGAAATTTAAATGAATCTATTCTTAACCGTGTAAAAAATACATCAAATGCAATTTTTTATAGTAACATGTCACATGGTCCATGGTTTAGTATGCTTGACCTTGGAATGAGAGATGATATTGGTCCTAAACAATGGCATTGTATAAAAGATGTATATGATAAACCGATAACAAACACAAATGGGTGGTTTACTATAGATGAATATTGTAACCATCGTAAGGGAGAGCCTAGTATTTTGATGCCCGATGGTTGACGTTAGAAGGGCCACATGAATTGGACAATAAATTATGGTATTCGGATATTCATGATTTATTAGGCATTTATTATAAAAAAAGAATGTGAATATATGTAACCTTTATTTATTGAGGAATTTTGTGAGAGCAAATGTTATCCTCAACTAAGGATGAAATACACTCTTATAAACATTCTAATTTTACAGATGGTCAACATCAGGATCTCGACGCTTACGCTGTAGATTCCATATTTGCCCAAGGCGCAATGATCACAAGTTTATGCAAGCGCGTATGAGCGTAAACGCTCTGGCATGAAATAAGCTATTAAGATTAACATGACTATGATGGTACAATTATGGAAGGTGAGTGACGACTTAAAAAATTAGACAAATACGGAAGTGAGGAGACACAGGAAAAATTAATCAAATTTGTAAGAATACTTAACTGCTTCGTCGTTAATTTGAGTTACTGGATTATTAATGCACAAGATGTAAATTTAGTGAATTTATTTTAAGTCGCAACTTAAAACTTTCTTTTTTTTTTAAAAAAAAAAATTGTAACTCAATCTTATGGTAAAAGGCACCCGCTAATAATTATATTTTTAATTCATTATCATATTATACTTTGTTTGTAATTCCGGATTGTTGGCAAACGGTTGGCACCACTTTCAATATTTATTCGGAATATTGATGATATTGATGCTCTTTTCCAATAATTGCGGACAGACAGGAAAGTTTATAATACAGGAGATGAATTTTAGAATACGATTACACCGAATTAGTATGCCACATACTAGTGAGATCTACTCCCATATATATTCTTACGTAATTAGTTTGATAAAATTCATTAAGTTTCTTTGATCATGCAACAACTGTAACTGTACTTTAACATGAATAGTTTTAAATCTGTTGATAAAATAGTAGATACTTATAAGCATTAAATAGTTGTAAACAAAACAATTCAATATTTATTAAATAAATCTATAAACCTAATTAATGATTATTTCATTGACTTACAGTATCCATATACAAATGTAACTTACCTTTGTATCATAAATTATTATATATCTTCAAATAATTTATGATACTTGCATTGTGAAAGGGAAATGAACCCAGGTCGTCGACGAGGCGGGCTCAGGTCGAATCTGAAAAAAATACAAAATATTGTCGATCTGCTAGATACATATACAGGATATATAGTGAATGTATAGTGAATATATTCATACGCATGAAAAACTACAAAAAAGATGCCTTAGTTTTCGAAACAAAGCAAGCTGAATATAGTTCAAACTATTCATTAAATGTTTCGTTCTGATGATCTCCCAGTAAAGGTAATACCTAAATGACCTTATTCTGACACAATTGGCTTGACCCCAAAATCGGCCAATCACGATTGGGAATTAACAAAAAAATTTGCCGCTAAAATTTATTACAGAATTCTCATAAAACTTCCTTTTAAACTTGCTCTAATTCTATAGCAAAGAAAATAGAACATTATAATATCTACATATTTGATTATGGTTGAACTTTTAAAAAGGCCGTTTTCTAGAAAATTTACTCATTATTCATCCGACAAAAAGGCCATAAAAATCAAATCGGCGGTTATGGTACCAATTTAATTTTTGTACAACACTTAGTAAATATAAATAAGCGTTAGAAAATTTCATCAGTAAATTCCTAAAAAATGGACCTAAGATTTTTTGAACAGCTTTCTCAGGACCTTACACAACTCCTAGAAAGTGAATATGATCATAACGTAGTAATTGAAGTTGGAGAACAACCAAATATTCAACTTTTTAAAGGACATTCGGTAATCTTATACCAACGTTCATTATACTTTCGTCAAAATTTTGTAAATGCGATTAAGAAAAATAATATTATTGAAAT